TCTTGCCCCCAGCCCTTTACCACCGTGGCGGCTTCACTCACCCGGGGCTCTGGGCTGCCTCCTGTCAATCTAGGGAGGATGGATTTTATGAAAGCTTGGGAGACACCAGATGCTTGCTTTATGAAGGGCAACTCTTCCCTACAAGGACTTAAAGACCTGGGGTGTGCGATAACAGAAGCCCCAAGCGCGAGCAGCCTTGTGAGTACCTAAAGTAGGATGGAAGGCTTGGTTTCCTTTAATTCTCCCAGTGTGTCCTAAGTGTATCGCTCTGTGCTGTGCAGGGCACCGGGGAAACACAGATAAATGCAGCTCTCTCCCCAATGAAGAGGGACCCCTCCCGGGCCAGGCGCTTGTGAACACATACTCGGTTCAGCGCGACTGGCACCAGAATGCAAGTATAGGCGGGGGGCCATGAGCTGACCAGAAAGGAGATCAAATAATACCTACTTCCATGAAATATGCACTCAATGCCAAGCCCTTAAATCCTGTGAAGAATGTGAGAAAGATATGGAACATGGCTCTGAGTGGGGGCCTGGGTGAGGGACGGGGCCTGACGGGGCAGGTGGAGACAGGTGGGGTCCTCACCCAGCTCTGCCCCTAACCTGCAGTTTGACACAGGATAAGTTAAAGGATAACCCTTCACAGCCCTGCAGATGAGGTTGGACTCAAAAAGTAGGATTCTGTCATGAATTTTCTGTTCTGTATCTCATCCCTCAGGAGAGGTAAAATGAACTTATAAAATAATTAAAGAGCGACATGAAACTGCATGGGGCACCACAAAGTTGGACAAGGTAGTAAAGCATCCAGGAGCCAAGAGAGAGGAAATCCAGGAGGGGGCCCTGGAGGAGGAGAGCCCCAAGCTGGGCCTTGAAGAATAATTAAAACTGGGGCAGTCTGAGAGGAGGACATTGTCAATGGTGGAATAGTGCTGCCTCACTCAGAAACGTTCAGCAGCTCCCAGGCCAACCGCAAGCATGTAAACATGGCATTCGAGGCCCTGTAAGCCTGGCCCCAGCTCCCACCCAGCCCGGTCGCCTTGACTTCCTTCCAAGAGCCCTACCCTCCACACCCTGAGCAGCTCACCTGCTCTCTGAACCTGCCCCACGGACTCAGAACGCTGCCTGAATTCCCTTTGTTCACTTCTCTGTCTCCATCCTCTAGTGCCCCCTTCAGAATTAAGCATCCTTTTCCCTCTGTCCCTCTGTCCCATTTGCTTAGGGTCACACACTAGAACAAATCCTAACCTACTAAACTGTAGCCGCCTCAGCCATTGGGTCACACGCCCTGTGGGCCACATGCCCCGCCCATGACTGGTGTTTGGTAAATGCCAAATGAATAAAGAAATGAACGATAGAGCCAAAATCCGGCTGCACGGACAGGGGAGTGCGTGGTAACAGGCAAGACGTGAGTGAGCTGAGAGCGTGGCCCACGCTACTCTGGGAGGAGCATCTCGGGGCTGGAGGAGCTCAGGGGTCATCTCGTGCAGCCGTGTCACCGAAACCATCCACGGCATTGCGCACAGCAGGCCTGAGCCCGCACAGGCACCTCCGGTGAGAACAGGCCAGCACACTGCGGTGCCGGCACGTTGGGGAAGTGCGGTGGGAAGGCTGTGGGCCTCCCGGACCCGGACTCGTAGTTCAACCCTGCTTCTTTGCCAGCTGTTTGGCCTTAGGCAAGCCACCTAACCTCTCTGAGCCTGGCTTACCTTCTCTTGTAAGAGAGATATAATACTACCTCCTTTCAAAGTTGTTGTAAGGATTATGGAGAATAGACCAAAGCAAAACCAAAACAACCCTCCAGCTTGTAAAAGGGGACTAATGAACGGTAGCTAATTCTATTTTTGTGACATATGATTAGTTATGGCTTGTGGCTGGGGAAGGTTTTGTGGAGAGTTCAAAGAAAGTTCTAAGTAGCAGAATTTGGGTTTCAACCGAACTGTCTGTCATAATTGCAGTGAACTTAATCATGGGACTCACTAACATGGCCTCATATGAAGATCAGTTGTTTAAGATCAGGGGTCACCGGGGCGCCTGGGTGGCTCAGTCGTTGGGCGTCTGCCTTCGGCTCAGGTCATGATCCCAGGGTTCTGGGATCGAGTCACGCATCGGGCTCCTTGCTCAGCAGGAGGCCTGCTTCTCCCTCTCCCACTCCCCCTGCTTGTGTTCCTGCTCTCGCTATCTCTCTCTCTCTGTCAAATAAATAAATAAAAAATTAAAAAAAAAAAAAGATCAGGGGTCACCAAACTGCTCCCACGAGGACACGTCCCATGGATAATGCTCACCGTGAGACACTTGCCAGCCCACAGAGGCCAGGACAGAGATGCAGAAAGATGCAGAGGTTGGCCTGGGAGAGATGATCCAGAAACAGTTCTTAGGGCCGGTGTAGACCTATGTCGGTCCTAATTCTGGAAGCAGGCAGGGGTAGGAGCAGAGGACTCAGGGTTCTATATTCAGGAACCAGGTTGTTGCTGGTAATCCACATATAAGGGGCTTCAGCAATACTCTGGTCCTGAAGGGTGGGAGGAGGGAGTGGGTACCTGGAGTCTTAGACGGGTCATGGTGGCCACAGCCCCCAGTGTGACCCAGGCCAGCCCAAAATGGCTCAGAAGTCAGGTCACAGTAGCTGGTTGAACCCCTGGAAGTGTAAAAGTGGGGAAGAGAGCACAGGAAATGATATAACACAGCCTTGAGGCCAGAGCAGATGGGTGCCATTAACGGAATCAGGAGGGTCTCAACCCTCCAAGTCCCCTTCTCGTCCCAGATTCTCCATCTCAGTGGGGAGCACTGCCACCCACAAACCAGAATCCTGGAACTCTCCAGATTCCCCTCTGACCCTGGCCTCCCACGGCTCAGCCGCTCTCAAGTCCTGCCCACTTCCCTTTTGACTCAGCCACTCTCGGTCCCCACTGCCACTGTCCTGGCTCAGGCCTCTGCTTTCCTCCGGGCTCACTGCACAGTCTCCTGCCTGGCCTCCCGACTCACCTCGCCCCGTCTGCGCGCCATTCACACTGCTGCCGAAGTTCTCTTTCCGCAAACTAATCTGGTCACATTCATCCTTGGCTTGGAACCATTTGGCAGCTCCTCGTTACAGTCCAGACCATCCCCTCAGCATGGCTGGCAGGACCTCAGGATCTGCCCAGTCCCCACAAGCTTCAACCCAACCACCTGAACTGCCTGCAGAGGGCCATGTCTCGGCAGCCTCTTCGTGTACCCCTCATTCTGCCTGAAGCCCTGGCCAGCTCCTCGTCCCGTCTCTGACTCCACTCCAGAACCCACATCCCTGACTCGCTCCCAGGCTGGTATAGGCTGTGTTCCCCACTCCCCCCTCTGTCATGGCTCTGTTCTTACTGTCCTGGAGTAACTGCAATCCCTCTGCCTCCCACACCTTGAGCCCAGGGCCTCTTAGTCACTTTGGGCTCCACAGAGCTCAGCATCCTGCCAGACAGACCTTAAGCACTCAGTAAATGTGTTGCGAATGAATGAATGAGAGAAAGAAATTGAATGATGAGGGAATGAAGACAATTTGGCAGGGCAGACAAGATGCTTTGGTTCTAGGGATGTTGGGTTTGAGTTGGTAGGGCCCTTAGGTGGGGGTCCAGGCTGCACTGGAAAGGCAAGTCTGAAGCTTGGGGGAGGGTCTCTTAAGAAACTGTGGTCTCTCTGCTCACAAATCAGCCAATTCCCCTCAGGAGGTCAAATGACCAGCAAGTGGCTCAGTGTTAACCAACCAGCTTTATCAACTCAGAGAATCTCTGAGCTAGAAGGAAGGATAAGGACATCGTCTGGTCTTTTTTTGACAGGTGTGGAAACCAAGGCTCAGAGAGAGGAGAGGCCTGCTCCACATCTTGTTAGAGGCGGGGCTAGGACCTCGTGACTCTCACAGCCTCAGCTCCTTCTGCCATCCCCCTGTGGCCTCCTGTTTGGGCCACTCGTCTCTGAGCCCCGAAGGAGGGCGTTATCAATAAGGGTGACGAGGGTGCTGGAAGAACCTAACCACAGATATTTACACCCTAACTCTTCCTTTCCCACAACACAGCTTCTCATGCCCCAAATGAGAACAGATTCATCGAACATCATGCACTCAATAAGCAGGATGGACCCCGTGGCCTCTGTAAGCAGGCACATGTACTTTACCCTGCTTTGGACCTTGTCCCCATCTAGTCTCCAGCCCTGTAACAGATCAGAAACAGCTAATTGGAATCCACAAGATCCTAACAGGAAAGATAAGAACACGTACACACTGACTCAGAAAAAAGCAGCAGATGGTGGTCATTATAGTGTCAGGACCAATAACCATTCACACCAGAGCACGTGAAGATTCTCCTGCACATACTCAGTGCGACATCAGTCCTAACAGTGGCATCCACATTATGTTTGGTACATTTTGCTTATTTGTGATACGCAAGCATTTAGACATCTCATGAGTATTTTCATCTACAGTGATTAAGATTGTTAAATTTCTGACAATATAAGAAGCAAGCCTTTGCTATCAAGGGGAGGAACTATCCTTGAGGATTCTGGCTAACGAAGGGTCTCCATCATGACAAGGCAGGGGAGGGGACTGACATTTTTGGCCACGGCATACCAAGCACACCGTCTAACACGTCTCATTTTCACACTCTTGACCTCACATGCGGCAGGCATTCAATCATAGAGGTTGAACCTGTGCATGACGGAGTGGATTGAGTGTTTTCAGCCTCATTTGAGATATTGCAAAAACGAGGCCCAAAGATTAGAATTGCCTCTCCATGATCACACAGTGGTAGCTGGGAGCCTGAGCTTCTTCGTCCTACAAGAGCTATTGCCACAGCCTACGTCAAGGTGGCAGGAAGGAAACCTCGCGCTTCCCCATGAGGAGACAGGGCAGTTCACTGCTCAACCACCCCTCCGTCAGCAGCACCAGCACCAACTGCGAGCTTGCTGAGTTGGCAGCCCTGTACGAGGAGCCCTGCGTCCCCGCAGATCGTGTTTCATATAACCTATGCTTTCTTTGATTCACAGAAATGAATTCAGAGCGTGGACGGACATCAAGCCTGTGAAACCGATAAAAGCCAGGCCCCAGTACAAGCCCCCAGATGATAAGATGGCTCATGAGACCAGCTACAGTGCCCAGTTCAAAGGGGAGGCCAACAAGCCAACACCCGCGGACAATAAGGTCATTGATCGCAGAAGAATACGCAGCCTCTACAGCGAACCTTTCAAGGAATCCTCAAAGGTGAGACAGATCTTGTGGGGAACCCCTCAGCACAACCTAGAACCAGGGGGTTAACTGCAGCAAAATGTGAGCGCGGGGCTCCTGCCCACCTGGCCCAGGTGGCTCCTGGGAAATTCCTCCTCTTCTTGGTAGCCCAGAGGCTAAATGCAAAGGGAATGTTAAAAAGAAACAGTGCCTAGGGCGCCTGGGTGGCTCAGTTGGTTAAGCGACTGCCTTCGGCTCAGGTCATGATCCTGGAGTCCCTGGATCGAGTCCCTGGATCGAGTCCCGCATCGGGCTCCCTGCTCGTCAGGGGGTCTGCTTCTCCCTCTGACCTTCCTCTCTCTCATGCTCTCTGTCTCTCATTCTCTTTCTCAAATAAATAAATAAAATCTTAAAAAAAAAAAAAAAAAGAAACAGTGCCTAAAATAAAACAGCTTGAAGACTGGCAGGTTTTCAGAGAACTAGCTTTTCTGATTTAGAGAACCCCCCCCAAAAAATTTGCAGAAAACCTCACCTGAGCCCTCAATCCCCCCTTCTTAAAACAATGGCTTTTGCCCCTGAAGTGTTGGCCATTGAAGGTATCTCGCTGGCTTTCTCCCCACCCTGCCCCTGCAGCATCCTTGGCTCCAATCCGTGGACACTTCTTTACTCCTTTTTATCCTTTTCGTCTGTAAACACTATGCACCATCAGCTCTTAGTCTGTCACAGAGCACCTGTCTCACCAGCTGCCAGATGTGTTCCGGGTAATTTGTTACTATAATAGACAGTTTGTGAATGATGTACATTTCTAAGTGACTTCCAGTGGATTCAGGGATTTCCATATAATAACACTACTTTGCCTTATTTGTACCCCAGTACACACTCATGAGGGAATGAGGGGGAGAATGGAGTTGGAGACTCAGCTGGAAGCAGCAATCATAAATGCCAAAGCTGATTCTGTGAAGTCAAGCCACATGGGATTGTGCAAATATCCACTCTTATCTACAAGAGTAGGAAAAGTGTGAGCTCCTTTCCTCTGCTTTTGTCTGTAAGTCTTACACTGAAGTCGAGTTTCCTATTTGGCCCAAGACTGATTAATAGGTGAAGTAGGGTAACCAAGCCAGCTTGACTGGCCTCCTCCACTTGGAGCACTGAAAATTCCACATTCCATGAAAGCCTTCAGGCCCGGGCAAACCAGGATGTACAGGTCAGAGGTGACTGAAAACCCCTGGATCTCCCTGAATGAATGACCTAGCCTGTGAGGCCCAACAGCATCTCTGCCCATCTTCTGCATACAAGGTGCGGCCCAGGACATAGTGCTGGCTTTGCACAAAAGAAGACTCAAGGGGAGGAAGGAGGGAAGTTTGGGGAAAGTGAACCCAGAGATGGCATATTGAGGGGCCATACACAGTGGCCCCAGAGTTCTCGGGAAAGAGAAGGCTGGGCCATCTCCTGGGAGGGGGGGCAGAGCTGGAGGTGACCCCTGGCCCTTCTCCTCACATTTCATCGACTAAAGCAAATCCCAGGCCTGCGCGAGTTGAACAGAGTGATGAGGGATGCGGTATATGCGATTCTCCCACAGGGAGGGGCAGCAGGGATTGCAAAACGGTAACATCATCCACCACCACAGTGGTTCCGTGGTGACAGCCGCCAGGCCGGGCTGCCACTGTGGCCTGTGAGCCTGTGGCCACAACGGACCAGCCGGTTCAGAAGCCAGATGACCTGTGTCACTGAAAACACTTTAGACGCTGTGCTTCCTCGATGTCAAGTGTCATCATGACAGTTACCGTTGAGCTAATCATGTCTTCTCTCTAACTTCTCTCTCCCACTCCCTCCCTTTTTGTGTTTCTGTATTTGCGGTCTGTCTGTCTGTCTGTCTGTCTCTCCGAGCAGGTGGAAAAACCTAGCGTTCAGAGTTCCAAACCAAAAAAGACCTCAGCGAGCCATAAGCCCCCGAGGAAGGCCAAAGACAAGCAGGTGGCGTCGGGCCAGGCCTCCAAGAAAAAGAGCGCAGAGGGCCCCAGTGCCACCCAACCCGAAGACAAGGAGCAAAGTAAAGAGATGAACAATAAACTGGCTGAGGCTAAAGAGTAAATTTCATTGCATTTTCCTTTTATTCTTCTTTCTTTCTTTTTTCTTTTTTTTTTAACCAACCAACAAAAAAGGCCACAAAATTGCTTAGAGGTTTCTCATCTGCCTTGGTCCTGAGTGTTCCAGGAGCTCTTTGGTTTGGTTTCTTCCAATGGAGGAATGCCGTCTCCAAGCCCGAGCGGCATGCCTCCTCTCCAAATCGAGACTGGCCGGGCTAAGCGCGGAGCAGGGGTCCATGCCGCGGGGCCCCCGGAACACCAGGAACCCCGGGAAGCATTGCTCCCTGGTTGTGCCTCCCACAGCAGGTGAGACTGCTCGCCGGCTGCCGAGGGAGGCAGGCAGGCCTTAGCACGCAGAGGCCCTTCCCAGCGGCTGGAAGTCTCCCAGTCACGCTTGGGAATGCCCATAGGGTGCCCTCCTCCTCTTCTCCCCCGAGGTCTGTGTCAGGGATCAGTTCTGAACTTTAGGTGAATGTGTTCTTTTCCAAAATTCAGAGGGTTATCATGTGCTAGAGACGCTCGCCTTTGGGCTTCAGCGATGGACAGCATTTGTGGAAATACTTAAAAAGCAAAAAACCTCGGCCTTAATGTCCACAAGATGAATTGTGTCTGTTAAGTTCAAGTAATTTTTCTCATAGACTTTTCCGTTAGAAACGTGTGACTACATTTAGTTTCCTATCAGTGGGCTTGAAATTGTATGCCAAGTGATAAATATGCCGCTGATGACTCAGAGCAGGCCAGGGTGTTTTAGGTACGTTCTAGACGTCATAGGAAGATGAACACAGCGTGAGGAGACTGTTCTCCTCTGTGTCCCCAGTTTTGTAGGGCGACTGGTTACAGATGACTGAGGAGGGAAGCTCCGGGGGCAGGGGTAGTGTATTGAGAACGTGGCTTCCTTGCTTCTGAGAAACACAAGGTGGGAAGTCGACGCCATGCCAAGCACGGCCATGTTCATGTTTGCCCTGTTCCTCAGAGAGGACAGAGGGTGCTGAGCTTCAGATTAGTGGAAATGTCTGTGACTTAGCTGAAGATTAGGAGAGTTCCCTACTAAGTGATTAGCAAGCATTTTTTACCTCACTGATGAATAAAAGCAGCTCTCACCGTGTTGTGTTTCACGTGTCTGTGTGGCCAACGCCCCCGGGAGCGGCAAGGGGCACCTTAGTTGTGCTAGAGTTGTGTTGTAGCTGGTAGTCAGAGAGTTGTAGAAAGACCCCTAGTGCTCATGAGGGAACCCAACATACCCACCGGAAAAATTACATTTGCAAACCTTGTGACGTGTACGTTGCTCGGTATGCTTTGTTGCCCCTGTCCTTGAAGTCCTTCCTGTTGCTGGCACCGTGACATGGCCGGGCTGTCGTCCGGCTCCTCACCGCGGCGCTCCCTTGCGGTCCCTGTGGTGTGGAGGAAGCAGGGCTTCCCCCAGTCCTCTCCTGTTCTGACCATTCAAGCAGCAAAGCCTCTTTTGGCGCCATTTTGTTGGTCACCCTGGGGCTGATGGAGAAGTCTTTTGCAAACTCGTTGAGCGTGTGCTTTGTGGGCCACATTTGTTAAAGAGAACAGGACTCCTAGAAATGAGGCGTTCGGCCAGGCCCACCGTCCTCTTCCTTTCTATCTCAGGGCGTGCAACTGAGAAGAACTTTTGAAGAAGGTAGAAAATATGAGTGAGTTTCAGTGTTCGTGCATCACACGTTTTGATGCCTGTCTGGAAATGACCAGAGCAGACCTCAGTACTGATTCTAGCTATTTGCTCACTAATCTTAACATTAACCAGAGAGCTCTATCAACATGATCTTAACTTTATCCAGAGAATTTGCCAATGTCTGTTCGTTCTCCTGCGGTCTGGCATTAGTCAGGCGTGTTGATGTTAGCCGCAATTTGGATTTCTCCATAGAACAGTCATATATGTTTTGCGGATCAAGTAAATCAAACTTTACGGTGCACAGGGGAACGTTCATTCCATATTCGCGTGCTGAATGCCTGTGTGCCAGACACCGTGCGAGACGGGCTGGGTATTACACACATCTGTCTCCACAGCAGCACAACCAGAAGGATACATACGACTTGATCTCGTGTCTGATTCAAGTTTGTTCGCCCAGATTGTAGTTTCCCACCCACCTTGCAGCTCCAGGGACTGAATTTCCAACCCTTGCCCCACCTGCAGCTTGAGACGTGACCCATATAATGTCTTTTCGACCCTTCAGGCTCCCCGTCTTTTTAATCCTGCGACTGGGAAAACTCTTATTTGTAGTTCACTTTGACTCTTGAATGTGTCGCTTCATGGCAAGAAACTTCCTTTGATTTCTACTGTTTACAAATAGAACTCAGCCAGTCTTATTCTGCATCCCAAACGTACTGATTGAAACGGATTCTGGTTTCACAAGCCGTGTTTCCGTTTTGCCTTTCTGAAGATGACCCAGCTTCCGACGCCTGGCTGTCCATTTTTGTATATTTCCCTGCCGATTCCTGAGCTCCCCTGGCAAGAGAGCAAGGCCTGAAGCTTTCCTATTGTCTGCTTTGCTTGCCTGCAAAAATAATCCCTAAAGCTGTGCGTTGGCTCCCCAAAGTTCTCTGTTATCTGCTGGTGCTTCCAACCGGTCCGTTCTACCTTTGCCTCTCCAAGGCAGACAGGAAGTGTCTAATCACGATTTTGTGGCCTGGGTTTTGTTGCGTACCACAGATTGTCTATGTAATGTGCAGCGCATACCTCTCTTGGTGCTATTTCATTCCTGCTGTGAGTAAGAAAATGACAAAAAATACTCATGTATAGCCAATTGATTGTGACGTGCTTGTGGTCTGTGCTTGCTCAGAAACAAACAGTTCTTTTTCCAAGTATAAATAAATGCTAAAGACGAACACCACTTTCTTGATCTTATTTCCTTGGTAAGGCCCAGCTGAGTAGGTGAAGGAATCAACCTTTGCCATTTGAACCGCTCTCCACGAGATGAGCCGTGCCCTGCAGTTTTTCTGGGGTTCTCCCTAATGCAGCTTGACTCTTTTAGATTGCCTGTCAGATACTAATTGCAAGCAGTCAGAGCTAAGTGTTGGGAAAGGCGAAGATGGACCAAGAGACCCACTGGCCAACAAGGTAGTGTAACGTTTTGATCCCATGTTGCTGGGGATGAGTGACCGCCTGCGCCCAGCACCGCATTGCCGCGCTGGGAGGCTGGGTCCTGATTCTCCACCCCCTTCCCGTCACCCTGCAGGACTGGTGCTTCTGGCTTTTTCTCCTCCCAAGAGATGGCAGAGATGCCTTCACTAACTCATTTAATCTGGTCGTTGTGAAGGTTCCCCCCTCTGGGGGCTGGCTCACTGTGTGGGTTAGGGGGGAAGTCTTGTGTGTGCCCAACACGGGGGAGTGGAAACAGCCGCAAGAGAGGGCCAAGTAAGGTAACAACAGACCAGGGAGCTGGTTGCTCATATGAAGGACAGGTTTCTTCCTACAGGAGTGGGGCGTCAGAAGGCTGCATCGGGGAGGGAACCTTGGAGAATGGGTGGGTTGTGGGCGTGCAGGCCATGTGGGGCAGGCCTACAGGCAGGAGAGCAGACCTGGGAGGGAACCTCAGAGCTAGGGCCAGGTTTAACCGCTTGGATAGCCTTCTGCTAAAGTGGGAGACAAAAGATGATATACTTTTAGTATGGGATCCCTCTTCCTTTTACTAACATGTGTTGATTGAATACCTATTATGTGCCAGGCACTGTGCCAGGCACTAGGGAACCAGGATGACTGAGACCCCACCTCTGGTCACTGTGGGGCATGAAGGAGGAGCCTGTTCTAGCTGGTTCCATGGATCAGGGAGAACTTCAATGGATGAGCAGGTGATGACCAGGTGAACAGAGTCTGGGGTGGCCAAGGCGTGCCAGACAGAAGGAGCTGCAAGAGCAAAGGTGTGGAGGGGTCCAACACCAGGTGAGCTCAGGTCCTGGGGGAGCAGTTCACTCAGGGAGGGTCGAGGCAAGGGCTGGAAAGTGGCAGAGACTGTCATGGAAAGTGGTGCCATGTGAGTGGGCGGTTACTAACTGGGATCTCCATTCCATACACCCAGATTTCACACCCCCCCCCGACCTTTGCATGCTCCCTGCCATCATGCTTCTTGCCCTTACCTACATATCGGGCAACAACCACAGGTCCTCTCTTGCTTTAGGCTATGAGCGCTAGGCTGGGACTTTTATTCTACTTCTGGTCCCCAATTTCTGGGTTTTGGGGAGAAGCCATGGTGGGAATCAATCAAGGAGCGTATATATGAAAACCCACTATATATTTGTTTTCCAGATGAGCAGAAAACATTCCACCCACCTGCCTGCTTTTGTATAAGGCAGAGAACACAAAATTCTGTTTAATAAATAAAACATACATAAAGACCTATTATTCAGCTCTTTTGTGATCAGTTAAAAATTGTTTTGATCAAAACCAGGGACTGAGAGAAGTAGAAAGAAAGACAGGAGAAAAACAAAGAGGTAGAAATAGAGACAGAGAGGGAAGAAGACCCACAGAAAAACACACTGATGATAAGCTGAGAGAAAGTGAGATGTACTCAGAGTCACGCGGCAAGGACCCAGGAACAGAGCAGGCAGGAACGTGGAGAGAGAGCCTTGCTAGCTTGGTGTGACCAGCGCTCAGGCCTCACCCGGAGCCACGGCCTCTCCATGCGCCCTGATGCTGCCCCAAGCCCAGGAGGCAAATCTATAGCTCATTACTCGTGTTGCCTCCCCAAACAGCTCACAAAATTAAAACCAGCCCTCTAGTTTTAAAATAGGTCATTATTGCTAAATTAGCTATAAGCATATTGTCATTCTTCCTTACAGTTTGTGTGTTCTTATGAAATCCTTTTCTGTTTGTTTGGGGGTTTTTTCCCCGCTAGGGTTTAAAAATTTATAGCCTGCTTCTCCTAGATTTGGGAAGTGTTAAGTCCCACTTCACAAAGGCTATAAACCCCCTTAACGTGTCATCGTGGTTTCAAGGTCCTTTTACCGCTAAGATGTCTTAAAGCAGTTTACGTTTTCAAGACCACAGGTATAAAAGTTTCTTTCAGCATGTAGCCTGTGGACCGTCTGCAGTTAAGGCAGCGCCCCATCCCAGCCCCCGCTGAGCCCACTGACAGGAGAGGCACGGTCTCAAAGGAATGGAACGAAACCTTTCTTAGACTCGCCTCTTGCGGAGGCAGGCACATAGCCCAGCCTCCTCCATCACCCTGCCATCTGCTGCACAGATGCTCCGAACACTGAGACCATCCCAGAATACCTGTAATAATAGAACCAGCACCAACGCATACTGTATCATGTGAACCGGTTAACACTGGCAGTTTACAAGGTGTTTACAATGTTCATGGATGGTATCGTTGCCAGCTGTGCAACCCAATGTCTTTCCCTAAGCGCTGTCAGCCTTGCTGTCCTCCTCTGAAGATGGGGACACTGACCCCCCCTAAGAGGAGAGGATCGAGGGTGAAATGACACACAGCGGACACTAAATACGGGTCATTTCAGGCCCTCCCCCTTCCTTTCTCAGTGCTTGAAAGGTCCGTGTTCATGATCTTTCTGATAGTTCGCTTTAGGTAATCTCAGACAATACTTGAGTTTGGGGCAAACACTCTGAGAAGAAGGCTTTTTTTTTTTTTTTTTTTTGAGAAAAAAGGCTTTTAAAGAATTCTAGCTATTGAATCACCTCGAGTCCACGGATCTAAGCAATATTTTAACAATTTACATTTATTGACCGCCCACAAAACATTTCTTTCTGTGCCATTCTATTGAGTTCTCCTCATATGGAGCAGGTGTGTGCCCCAAGTATAAAAGACAGAGAAGGGAAGCTCAGAGAGAAGGGAAGCCTGCATGGAGCCTGGGTCTTCTGCTCCACAGCCTACACTGCTCCCCTCCCTCACCCGAGGGAGGCCAGGGCTGGCCCTAAGTGAGTCAGGCTTCAGACAAGCTGGAAACTACACCCACACGTCGCAGTGCCACAGTCCGGTCAGGCCAGAGCAGGCCCTCCAGCAGGCTTACCTAGGATCTTCTTTAAATCATGGGACCCAGATACAAATAGGGGGAATTAAGAATTTGATCAGATCTCCACACACAACTGGCTCAAACATCCCGACTGAATTGACCAACTGTCTCAGCCAAATATACAGGTTTTCTCCTTTGGGTACTAAATTAACTGCCTGGGTAACTAAAATGCATGGTTATTGAACACAGAATGGTCCAACAAATTTTTCATTCATAAGAAATGTACTTGGTACTGGAGATACCAAGATAAAACAGGTGTCCATTTCCTGAGGCACTGGATCAGAGACCACCATTTTGTGCTTTTTATTTCAAACAGTAGAACTGAGCTTAACTCTCTGTCCCTTGTCCTCATATAAATGGTCCCCAACTGCTTGTTAACTTGACATTATCAACCCAGACATCTTATCCAGGGCCAAGGGAGCCTCAGATGCTGAGGTAAATAAATTCCTGCCACTGCTGCTGATTTAAGCTGCCAGAGAGATCTTTAGAACATGCAATTCTGACCATGTCATCCCCTGCCTTCAACCATCCGTGGGCTCCTTGTGGCCCACAGAAGCTTATCGTCCCCCCAGTGCACCATGCTGCTTCTCACCTCCATGCCTTTCCCCACGCCGCCCCACCTGCTCCGATTGCCCTTCTCCTGCTTCTCCACCTGGCTAACTCATCCTTCGAGACTCCGCTCAGGGGACAGCTCCAGGAAGCCTTTCCCGCACCTCCCAGGCTGGGTAAGATGCTCCCTGTGTGTGTCTTCATCACAGAACTCACCACATATACTGTACCACATGCTCGTGTGTGTGTGTCTCCCCACTAGACTGTGCTCCCCCAGGGGTCAGGACTGGCTCCTCCTGTTCACCTTTGTAGCCCTAGCTGCTGGCCCAATGCCTCCCTCAGAGAATGTCTTCAAACTTGTTTGTTGAATGAATAATGAGTGAACGAATGAATGATGATATTCACCATCTGCCTCCATATCCACCACGGCGCCACCGCAAGGCTTTATTCTGCTTAATAATTGTCTCTGCTCACACGAAAGGGGTGGTGTCAAGAGAGGTCCCGGCACAGATCACAGGGCAGTTGATGGCTGGTTTTACGATGGCCAGCCTGCCCCTGTTCTTTATGTAGCCACTTTTGTCTAAGCAGGCCTGACTGCCAAAAATCATAGACTCTTGGTTACGGGGTAATCTTAACAGGTCAGCGAATCCCGCCCCCTGCCCAATGCAGATCTCCTAACTTCATGACGGCAGAGAGGCATCCCCATGGGGAGGTCTCTTAGGAAGAAGGACTGGGAATTAGAGCCGACAGGCCTGGTTTTAAATCCAAGATCTACTCTTTACTAGCTGTGTGACCTTGGCTGAGTCTCTTAATCTCTTTAAGCCCCAAAGAGATAACAGTAATACAAGTATCTATCCCTCTCCAAATCTGTTTGGTTCCCAAATCCGGAAAGTAGGAGTTCGGTTAGCAAGGGACATAGTATATATATATGAATCTTTTGCTTCCAGAGTTTAGGATAGCAGGTGGTAAGAGTTCTCACAGTTGGCGATACCTGCTTCTGATCTGCAGGACTGTCTGTTATGTGGACCCAATGAGGGTGCATGTGAAAGCCCACCGTCAACTGCAAAGTTGACAATAGTTCATTTCATGGATAGTTTTGTCAATAGTTCATTTCATGGATGGTTTTCTTGACCCCCGCTGACCACCCTGGGTCCCAACGGTGTGGTGGCTGGAGCCACATGTGGTAAATCCACTCCCTCTGTCACACAACAGCCTGAGCTAGAGTCCACCTAGTGCTGGGTCTTGCTGCCCTCCCTCCCCCAGCCCTTCCCCGGCCCCTCCTCTTTGGGCACACCCTGTAATCACCGGGTTCGGATTCCATTTCTGCAATTACACATTCGTTTTAATTGAGCCGCTCTGGACACACCAATTTTGATTAATTGCTCAAGATCCCATTCTTTGCTTTAGATGGAGTGGGAAGAAAGGACAAAAATTGATCTGCAAGTTCCCGGGAGCACAGAGCTAGACCAGAACTGAGCCTGTTATTGTCTGGTTGCCTTAGTTCAGCACTTCCCATTTTAAGAAGGGTCCTTAGCAGGATTATCAGCTTCTTGGCAGCCCATTGAGACGGTCCATGCTGTCTTTGCCTTTGCCTTCTTGGTGTTAAAACAACCAATGATGCGTTTTGAAATTCTTATTATACAGTGGGGAGTCTATTTAGTTTTTCTTAGCAGGTTATATCTAGAAAAGCTATTTTAACAGCAACAACACAGGACAAAAACCGTAGTCATCGAGCGCCCTGGGCAACCATCTCCCTGCGCTTCACAAGAACGCATCTGCCGCAGGGAGCCTGTAGTGGTTGGCGGGGAATCTGAACCAGGAATCTGGCCCGGGGTCTGTGATTCCATGCTGGTAAAATGCAGAGTTGGCACAGCCTCGGGGAAGGGGAAGGACGTTTATCTGGCCTTCACGCCCTTGTCCTCACTGAATCCTCACATAAGGCTAGAGAGTTTGGAGATCTTTATAGATAAAGAAATTAAGACTTAGTGATTAAATGGCAAAGTCACACAACTTGTAAGGGGCAGGCCGGGATTCAAAGCCAAGTTTGGGTTACTTAAAACTCACTCTTTGTCCAGCATGGATTTCGGTTGTGAAGATGTGCCTCCTCCTAAAATAGCGGCCTCTTCATCCTGTCCTGTCTCTGCTCCAGATCCTTCAAGGACTCTAGGCACTCTCATCCTCTATGGGAAATGAGTCATAGGAAGGTCCCAGATGCTGTTTGATCTGCACAGTTGCTACCTCTACCCATCTTCTGCCCGGCAGCCCCCGCCCCCACCCAGAATGAAGCCTTGTGGTGGCAGCATTTTTCCTAGCTGTGGTCCTAGCTGTTCCCCCTGTATTGATGTGCCACATCTGGGTGGACTCTGGGGGGCTCTAGGCTGGTGGACTGATGGGCAGCTGTAGAGGGCTGACAGGTATGCGCGTAGATGGGCGCTCTCAGGCCAGGATGCTCTCAGACTGTCCGGGACTATCTTCTTTACAGGCTCTGCTGAATACCAGGTGGTAAGCCTGGGGGAGTCGTCGTGTAGTGGATGCAGGCAGGGCCAAGGCAAAGGGGGACTGGTTGCTGGGGCCCTGGCCCCCAGAGGGGCAAGTCTCTCAGGACATGCAGTTGGGAGCTTAGAGCTGGGGACCTGCAGAGGTCAGCAGCTCCAGTCTTCTGCACCAGGCGGAGCCGGTCAGGGTCATCTCAGACCAGACCCCGTTCAGACCTCTGCGGAGGAATTTGGAATCTCTCCAGTTGAAGTCCCATCCCTCAGGGATATTGTTGTAGAGAGGAAAGAGCTTGACTGAAGTCTGTGCTCCTTGGTTAAAGTCCTGACATCGCCACAAACTCACTCTGTGACCTTATGCAACTCACTTCCCCTTTCTGAGCCTCATTTCCACCCACAGCTGGAAAATGGGGGGTGCGGGTGACACCCTGGCACACATCCCCCCTGCCTGGCCCACAGGGCTGCTGTGAGAATACAATGTGCCACATTGTATGTCAAGCCCTGCTAGAAAACCATCAAGAAAAGGACAAAAAGGTGCGAACACAGTTAAAATTGGACAGGATTTGTGTGTCAGGTAACCGTGGCTGCTAGAATTTGATCTTGTGTGAGTTATGTTTACAGCTTCTCACTCCTATGCTGTGCCCAGCCCATGCCAGAGTCTATGCTTCTCCACTCAATTCAGTGGCTCAGCACATAGTAGGCATTTATTAAATGTTCATGGAAGGAAGGGGGAGGGGAGGAGGGAGGGAGGGAGAGGTGAAGCGGACCACCATCCCCCCCGCCCCCCCACCAGTCTGGAGAGACAGCTACAGAGCAGTTGGGCTGCTATGAGCAGCGACGGCTCTGTGGGAACACAGGAGAAGGAGGGCTGGCCCCTGGAGGTGGAGGGCTTCACTGAGGAGGTGGCTCTGGAACTGAATCTCTGCTTCCTGAGGAGGCGAGGGGCTCAGCTGGGGAGGGGTGCCAGGCAGCAGCGCTGACGTGGCTGAGAGGAAGCTGACACGGCCCGGAGCTCTGGGGACGGAGCTACGGACCCCAGGGCAGAGGCACTGCCTCCTGCTTGGAGGCCACGCCTGCAATATCACTGTCAGCTCTGGGGGTCACGCTTTCCAAGGGATGGGGAGCCCACCTAGATGTGGAAACCAAACATCTGAGCAGTTGTCAGGTGTCTACTGCCCAGAGACTCCAGGAAGAAGGACACAGCTGCTTCTCCCTCCAGATATCCGAAAGGCCGTCCGGGAGCAGGCAGCATGGCCTCCTCGGAAGGGGACCCGGCCCGGGGCAGAAACGGGAGGGAGCGGAGCCCACAGAAGCAGGGTTCTGCTCGGGGTCTAAACACTAGGCCCCCAAGGGGTGGGCAGTGGAGGGGCCAGCTGGCAGGGAGACGGGCAGATGATGACTCGGGTCTGTCCTTCCAGCCCTGGACACCTTTGATTTGGCTCGTGAGGAGTTGTGCTTTCATAGAGCAGGGAGGGAGGACTTCCCTAGCAAAGGGGCCTTTGGGCCTCTCTGGTTGAAAAGCCACAGGCCGGTGAAGGCTTTGGGCCGGGGCGGGTGGGGGTGCCGGCTTTAGAGTGTGCACCGTGTGCTTACGGGTCTGTCCCTGGCTCCGCACGGGGGGCTCCGTACGGGCCCCGGTGTCATTCACTCCTGTGCCCCCAGCACAGGGCCAAGCCCAGAGTAGGGGGCCTCAGCCGACTTTGTCCAATGAATGGATAAAAGAGAAAAAAAAAATAGAATAAAGGGAAAAAGCTACATACCAGCAATTCGTTACACAAATCTCTGCAGGTGCTACTATGAGTCCAACCCCAGATACTGGCGATGAGAAGATGAACGAAACAGTCCATGGGCCACAGCAGGAGAGGCAGGTCACCACCAAACACCACGGTCCTTGCTAAAACAGAGGCTGCCTGGAGTCTGGGCGGGAGAGAGGCAGGCGCGGGAGCTCTCGTTTTGAGAATGCCTTGTCTCCTGCAGATTCTTCATAAGAATAATGAGCTTTCAGAGATGGTTTCTTGGCCCTCCCCCTCTAGTAGCTGCATTTCCTATACAAGCTTCCTTGGAAGCTTTGTTTATGTCCAGGAAAAGCTCCCACGTGAGGCCCATGCGGGCGGACAGGAGGAGAGCAAAGCCGTCAAATTGCCCCGTCCACTGTCTCCCCAACCTTCTGCCAGAGGCCCTGAGGTGCAGACGGCCTGTGCGTCTTTGCTTCCAGTGAGTTTGCTCCATCCCCTCCCACCCCATCCACTAAGATGTCGAGAGGCCTGTGTTTTAGTCCTGGACCTGCTATCCATGGGCTGTGTGGCTATGGGAGAGTCACTTGCCCACTCTGGGCCACTTTCCCATCTGCAGAGTAACACAATTGGACTAGATCACTCAGTCCCTCTTTGGAACTAACATCTACTAAACATCACCCATATTCCAGGGACCATGTCACGCGTGTTCACGTATACTAATCCTCCCTTAAAGGTGAGCACTGTAATCCCCATCGTATAGATTATGGATGCTGAGGTATAGAGACTGGCATGCCCATGATGAGATTCCCATGGGCTAGAAAGGCCTGCATTCAAACCCAGCTCTTGTGGCCCCTAGCCCAGCCCGTGCACTTTCCCCCCCAGCAGGCTGCTCTTTACATTCCAAGAAATGATCTATGTTAAAGCACCTGGCCCCAAGCCTGGCACATGGTTCCTGCTCAGGAAATAGGAGTTTCTTTCTTCCCCAGGGCTTTTCCAAGCTGTGGAGGCAGGGGATTCATGGACAGGGCCCTCCTACATGAGCACCGCCCCAGCTCTGGGCTGCTTTGATGGTGCAGCAGGAAACAGTCTAGGGAGGAAAAAAAAAAGAAAACCACATGGGTGGATGATGGAATTAGAATTGTGTGCAAGAGCAGGAACCAGCAGGAGGGAAGGCAGCCCTTTTTCCAGATAGTCTTGGGCAGGGCTCCATAATCCTGCTTCCAGACTCTGATAAAGCATAGTGTGTGTATACCCAGGAGGCATTGCCTGTCTCCATGGTAACAGGAAGAAGGGCAGAAAATTAAGTTCCTAAGACTTAGGATGTCTCATGTAACCTTGGAACATTAAATTTTGCAAATAGGACAGAGCCTGGCACAGGAAGGCTCTCATCTATTCATTCATTCGACAAGTATTTAGTTGGGTCCTTTCCTTTATTTTAGGTACAGACAATACAGTGATAGGCAAAGGCAGCCTGGTTCTGCCCTCTGAATGCTTCAATCCAGTAGGGGAAACATTAATCTAGAAGAATGCAAGTCATGAGCTGTGTTAAGGGGTGGGGGAGGGCCAAGGACTAGGAGAGCCTGCAGCAGGCGACCTGGTCACATGGGTGGGGTCAGGGAAGGCTTCCCTGGGAAAGTGCTCCAGTGAGCTGAGAGATGGAAGATGAGTCACATTAACCAGGGCAAGAGGGAGCAAGAGAATGTTCCGGGAGGAGACAAGAGCACATGCAAAGCCAGAAATGGAAAGGAGCAGGGCATACTGAGGAGCAGAGCGAAGTCCTGGGAGGCTGGAGGGGACAGAGAGCCAGGAAGGCAGCGGGAGCAGGCTTGTCAGCTAGGTGGGGCCATGTGACAGGCTTTACTCTTTATTCTGAGTGCAAGAAGCCATGAAGAGTTGTAAGCAGGGAAGGGGGTTGCTTTTTGGAAAGGTATTCTGATTTCTGTTTGAAGAATGGATTGGAGGAGGAGGTGAGGCTACCAGTTAGGGGGCTGTGACAATGGTCCACAGAGATGGTGGCACGGGGTGGTGGGGGGCAGGGAAGGAGGGAAGGACGTGGGAATACTGAAGAGAGAAATGTTAGGAGCTAGAACAAGTGGTTCCTGATGGGTTGGATGAAGGTTTTAAGGAAGAGGGAGACATCAGGGATGACTCTGGGGTTCTGGCTGGGACCATGGGTTAGATGATAAAGCAGGTCTCAGCAATAATAATTTGTAAATCTTTCCATTTGATCTTCTTTGTTGCCGGCTCTGTGCTGGGCCCTGGGGCCGCAGGCCGGGAGGATGAGCTCACGATCGAAGGGGTGCCGGGCAGGGGGCGGAACTGACATTAATGGGGGCATGTGTGAGCGTGGGAGAGACTGTATGGTGGTACAGCAAGGGAAAGCTCATTCGGGGAGATGCCACCAGGACCCTCATTCGGGGCCTGAGCAGGCGGATCCGCCAAGGACAGACAGGGCAAAGCGGGTGAAAGGGGGCAGTCCAGGCAGCAGGAACAAAGCAACAAAGCACTGGGGGTGCACAAAACAGCACAGGCTGGCCAGAGGGCAGCGCACGGAGGGTGAGTGTGCAGCGCTCGCTGCCCCTCTCCCTGCCTTCATCCGGGGCTGCCGTGAGGGTCCGGTGGGTTGCAGGAAGGTGTATGTGAGCATCTGTGAGAAGCTGTTACTGCACTTAATGGGAACGGACGTCACCGTCTGATGCACTCTACAAATGTCAAGAATTGTGATTTCCCATCCCTGCCCAACAGGATCATCTGATCCTCTGTTGTTACGGTTCCTGAATTTTGTATTGTTCTCCCCATTTTATATGCGGGGAAACTGAGGTCTATCATGGTTGAGTAATTGCCCACGATCTTGCAGGCGATACGCAGCACAGAAGCCAAGATAAACTCAACAGGTTATTCTCGTTTACGAGAGGGTTCGCAGGCTGGGAGGCTGAGGCTCCTGTGATATGTGCTGGCCCGAGAAGGTCTGCAGCTGGCTCGGGGCTGCAGATGTGGTTGTGCAGGTAGGCTGTGCCCAAGGACAGCTGGCCTGTGGGCTGAGCGGAGCTGAAGGCAGCCCGTCTCCACTCGCCAACCGGCTTCCACCCAGAGGGCTCGGCTTCGTCTGACTCACACAGAAGGCACTGTGCGTCCGGCTTCTGCCTGCCTTCCCGGGAATGGAGGGGCGTTTTTACAGATGGGGACACTGGCAGGGCACCGTGGAACCAAGTGATGGCCAGTCAGGGTCAGTGTGAGTTTCGAGTTGCCCTCGAGGGTGGTTCTGTTCATAGGAAAACCAGCTGAGGCTGCTTTTGTTTTTGTTTTTGTTTTTTTAATTATTTTTTTAAAGATTTTATTTTAAGTAATCTCTACACCCAGTGTGGGGCTCAAACTCACAACCCTGAGATGAAGAGTCGCACACTCCACACTCCACCGACTGAGGTAGCGAGGTGCCCCAAAGCTGCTTTGGTTTTAAAAATGAATGCTTAATTTATAAAAGTAACACTTCAGGGGCGCCTGGGTGGCTCAGTCGTTAAGCGTCTGCCTTCGGCTCAGGTCATGATCCCAGGGTCCTGGGATCGAGTCCCACATCGGGCTCCCTGCTCGGCAGGAAGCCTGCTTCTCCCTCTCCCACTCCCCCTGCTTGTGTTCCTGCTCTTGCTATCTCTCTGTCAAATAAATAAATTTAAAAAAAAAAAAAGTAACACTTCAAAAATCTAGGAAAGTTCAACAATCTCTTGTAAGGAGGATTTTGTAACCTAATTAATTCAGTTCCCCTAAATAATTTAAATTAAATTATAAATAATTTAAAATAAACTAAGCTTTAAAATATAATTATTGGGTTACCATAAAAGTTCCATCGTTGTTTTCAAAATTTATAAAATTGTCCTATATCTTTCAACTTAAAATCACAAATCTAATTATTCCATTATACATTTTATATTGGAATCACAAAGCTCATCTGTTAGATATCCTAATACGCCAAATTATTTTAAACATCACAAATATTTTCAAAATAAATCTACACAGACATTTCCTTAACTTAATACCAAAAAAGGGTAATATTGTAGACTTGATTTTATCATTTCCAGTCTTCATTCTAAACCTTCCCATGAGTAAGGAAGGACACTTACTAAGGAAACAGGTTCACTAGCGAAAGCGATCGAGGGTTATTCATCCAAGCAAATTTGGGGTTAGTTAGCTCACAGGTGGTTGAGAGGCTCATTCAACAGAAATATGGGGCAAGGCATGGGAGCTAAGGCCTCAAACATCCAGGGAAGTGCATTTTGCCCACGCCGTGGGGCTCTCCCCTGTTTCATCTCCATGCCAGGCAGGGACGCCGAGTCCATGTCCTGCCAGTGAGGTAGGTCTTGCAGTGCAAGCTCCCAAGATCAAGTTAAGCTCTGCCCCCTTTTGTGTTTCCTACCTCAGCTCTGTCACCCCTTCAGGATGTTCACTACCTGATAGGATTCATCTATTCGAATTCCTGCTTGATTCTATTCTGAAGCGGGCAGTTTTTATTTCCTCTTCGGCCAGCCACCAAGTATTAGACGTATTTTAATGCCATCCTTGGATTCTGCGTACTTCTTGAGGCCTTGCCTAGCTCTGCCAACGCTAAGGTCCCACTGATGGCAGCCAGCTGTGTCCATCTGGCTCTGTGTCATGTCTGTCCACTGTGATGCTCAGAGCCATCCAGAGGGACTGACGGAGAGTTTGCTTATGGCACTGTGTCCTCTGCTGAGAGATGCAGGTCCCCAGGTAGCTCAAGGTGCTAAACACATTAAGAAGCTTCTGGATCGGGATGACATGTCAGAATAAAAATAGTCCGAATATGTGTAACTTTACTTCTAAGTCAATAGAAAAATAATGGTAATATTGCATAGTAATATCCTGGGACAAGGTGCTAATGATCTCTAATCATACATTCCTGAGTAAATATCATTATATCCAATGATATAGATGACAAACTTGAGGCCCAGAGAGAGGAAAACATAAGGAGCTATGAAAGTGTGAGCAAGTAGAGGTCTTATTGGACCAGCTTTAATAAGCAGGTAAGAAAGACATAGTCCTAAAAGCTAACAGGAACTTTTTTGTTTTGTTTTTTTTAAGATTTTATTTATTTGACAGAGAGAGACACAGCGAGAGAGGGAACACAAGCAGGGGGAGTGGGAGAGGGAGAAGCAGGCTTCCCGCGGAGCAGGGAGTCCGATGCGGGTCTCGATCCCCGGACCCCGGGATCATGACCTGAGCCGAAGGCAGACACTTAACGACTGAGCCATCCAGGCGCCCAGCTAATAGGAACTGTTAAAATGCCGAAGCGGTCTTAAGCATAAAGACTTGATTGGCCACGAAGTATAAAAGAGTAATAACAGCTGCCCTGTACTGAGCAGCGACTGTGTGCCAGGCGCTACAGGGGACAGAGCACAGTCCCCGGGAGCGGAAAGACCCAGACTCTAGAGTCCATGCAGGTCCCTCACTTTCCACATCACTTGCTCTCTCGGGACCTCAGTTTCGTCATCTGACAAGTAAGGGTAATAACATCCATGCAGCTTCATGGGGTTCCTGGGTTGCTGAGATGAGCTCTGAGAAGTGATTTGGAAAGTGGAATGTGCTGGAAGTGTGCGAGGGTCTCTGACACTGGCTGAGTGGCTGCTCTTGGGTGGCAAATTTCAGCCTGGCCTGCAAGGAACAAGTATGCATTCTAAGCTAGACTGGCGGGCTCTGAGCGCGGCAGGGTTCGCCCTTGGTTGTCAGCAATGTTACCTGCTCTCCACCAGGTGGACGGGCTAAGGGGTGACACGGGGTCTGCAGTGAATCCTGGTGAGAGGCTTGGACTCGGCTGCAGGGAAATCAGCCCCAGGGCCTTGGAGGGAGGGCAAAGGCCCAGGGACGGTAGGGGGAGCCAGAAGCGGGGACAGAGCGAGGGGAGCAGGGTCTCTTCACTGCCCGAATGGGGAGCCCCAGCCAGTCACCTGCCCAAGGTGGGGGCGATGGCAGTGGCATGGGCAACAATGTGGCGCATTGTAGACAGAGAACTTAAATGCAGTGATAAAACCAATGGCAAGCCAGTCTGCTTTTTACTGTCACCTTGTGTAGGCGATTCTAAATAATGTTCATGATAAAACACTTCTCCCCTTGCAGGGACAGCGGTCGGAGGGACATTCCCCTGCCCTCTTTCTTGTCCCTCTCCAATCAGCCCTTAACAAGGGATCTGGGGAGGGGAAGGAGCCTTGGAAGGCCCCAGGAAGGAGGCCAGTGCGCTGGCGTGGGGGACCATCTGAGCAGACAGCTAGGACGGGCTTGCAGGATGGTCCCAGCTACCACAGAGGCAGGAGGAGCAGCCTAGGTGGAGTGTGGGGTGGCCAGGCTTCTGTGATACCCACAGGAGGACTCTGGGTCCTGCTCCAGTACCGCCTTGTCACCTGGGTGCCACCCTCTGTGCCACGCGCAGGTTATAATCAATTGGCAAGCACATTGAATGATTCCTGAGCCTGCCCCTCCCCCCACCCCCCATTCTGCACTAAGAGCATGGAAATCAGATTCTCCTCTCGGCTCTCCAGCCAGAGCTGCCCTGCCCAGGCTCCACTAGGCCAAGACTTATCAGGCAATCTGTGCTCTGCCCACTCCTTGGCCTGAGCTCGGGCCCTCACACTGACTACCTCTCTCTCTTCTGCAGGAGCCAGGTTGAACTCGCCAGTGATTCACGTAAGAATCGAGGTCCTATAGCCACAGAACCAGACAAGGATCAAAGTCCCGTGGGCCCAGGGCCTCTGAAAGATCAAGGTCCTGTGATCCAAGAGCGTCCAAAGGATCAAGGCCCCATGGCTCCAGAGCCTCTGAAGGGTCTAGCTCCTGAGGTCTCAGGGCCTCTGAAGGATCCAGGTCCCATGGTCCCCATACCAGTTAAGGATCAAGATCACATGGCCCCTGAGCCTTTAAAGAACGAAGGTTCTGTGATCTCAGCACCAGTAAAGGACCAAGGTTCCTTGGTCCCCGTGCCTCCAAAGAATCAAAGTCCTATGGTTCCAGCAACAGTTAAGGATCAAGGTTTCATGGTACCAGAGCCTTCGAAGGAGCAAGGTCCCATGGTCCTGGCACCTGTCAAGGATCAAAGCCCTGTGGTCCCTGAGCCTGTGGACAAAGGTCCCATGGTCCCGGCACCTGTCAAGGATCAAAGCCCCGTGGTCCCTGAGCCTGTGGACAAAGGTCCCATGGTCCCGGCACCTGTCAAGGATCAAAGCCCCGTGGTCCCTGAGCCTGTGGACAAAGGTCCCATGGTCCTGGCACCTGTCAAGGATCAAAGCCCCGTGGTCCCTGAGCCTGTGGACAAAGGTCCCATGGTCCCGGCACCTGTCAAGGATCAAAGCCCCGTGGTCCCTGAGCCTGTGGACAAAGGTCCCATGGTCCCGGCACCTGTCAAAGATCAAAGCCCCGTGGTCCCTGAGCCTGTGGACAAAGGTCCCATGGTCCCGGCACCTGTCAAGGATCAAAGCCCCGTGGTCCCTGAGCCTGTGGACAAAGGTCCCATGGTCCCGGCACCTGTCAAGGATCAAAGCCCCGTGGTCCCTGAGTCTGTGGACAAAGGTCCCATGGTCCCGGCACCTGTCAAGGATCAAGGTCCTGTGGTTTCAGAGCTTCTGAAGGATCAAAGCACTGCAGTCATAGCACCTGTAAAGAAGGAAGGTCCTGTGTTCTTTGAGCCTGTAAAGAGTCAAGGTTTAGTGGTTCCAGAGCCAGTCAAGGATCAAGGTGGAGCGGTCCCAGAACTTCTGGAAGATCACGATTCTGTGGTTGCAGCACATGTAAAGAATCAAGGTCCTGTGGTCCCGGCACTATTCAAGGATCAAGGCCCCATGGTCCCAGAGCCTCCAAAGAATCAAGATCCTGTGGTCCCTGAGCCTGTGAAGAATCAAGTTCCTATAATTCCAGTGCCTCTGAAAGATCAAGACCTCCTGGTGTCACCACCAGCAAAAGACCAAGGTCCTGTGGTCCCCGAGCCTCTGAAGACTCAAGGTCCCAGGGGCCCCCAGCTTCCCACTGTCTCACCTCTACCCCCAGTCATGATCCCAACTGTCCCCCATGCGGAATATATTGAGAGTTCCCCTTGACACTCACCCCTTGACATGCCAAGGAAGGAGCTGACCGTGGAAGTGCTCCCTCCCAGGGGTGGTGAAGACACATATTTAATCTGCATGAAACACGTACTGTATAATCTTGCTGGAATCTAATAAAACTGGTCCCTCTGGCTCAGCAGTGTTTCTCTCTGGTCCTACTTGAGTGTGTGTGTGTGTGTGTGTGTGCACACGTGCACTCATGTGCACCGTGCACATTTAAAACTGGGCATGCAGGACTCTGTATTCATCCATCTGAGCCAGACAAGACAGAACTCCCCAGCTCCTGCGAGCAGACAGTGTAAGATGGGAGGGGGTGGGAGAGGCTAGGAGATTGGGGACGGGACCCCATAATGAGGATATGGGGAAGGACAAACCTGTGTTTCTCCTTCACTCTCACACTCCCACAGCACTTCACTTCTGACATCACACATGCAACAATTATCCAACACCAGCTGGGGGTCCTGCCATTCAACTCACTTCTGACACTATCTACCCGGAGATAGCTCCGGGCCCCACAGGTGTTTAGGGCTCGGTTGCACAACACTGGCCCCACACCCACATTTCAGGTGCCAATGGCAAGTCCCAGGTTGTTACTTATACTTCCAACTGTGGGCTGTAAATTGCGATTTCCACAACCCCAACCTGGGTTCAGTAATTTGCTAGGATGTCTCATAGAACTCAGGGTAACACTTACTTAGGTTTACTGGTTTATCATTAAAGGATAAAGGATACCGATGAACATCCAGATGGAAGAGATGTGTGGGGTACAGCATGGGGGAAGGAGCATGAAGCTTCTATGCCCTCACCAGGCATGCCATCCTCTCAGTACCTCCAGCAACCCAGAAGCTCTTCAAACCCCATACTTCAGGGGGTTTTATGGAGGCTTCATTTTGTAGGCATGATCCATTATTAACTCAATATCCAGCCCCTCTCCCCTTCCCAGAGGATAGGGGTGGGGCTGAAAGTTTCATGGTTTGGTCTTTCTAGTGTCCAGCACCCATCCTGAAGCTATTCAGGAGACTACCAAGGGCTGCCTCATTATAACAAAAGACAGTCTTATCACCTAGGAAGTTCCAAGAGTTTTAGGAGCTCTGTGCCAGGAACCAGGGACAGAGACCAATATTTTCTATCATTTCACAGGTTGGGTCTCATGAAAGCCGAGGAACAGATACCAGACCGCAGCAGGCTGGATTGGTCAGAGTAGAGCCCAAAGAGGAAAGAGGAACAGGGACCCAGCTGGCCCAGGGTAATTCTGGGTGACAGTTGTTAGCCAAGGGCTCAGACCTCATCCAGAGGTCATGCTTCTTTTTTCTGTTTTTTTAAGATTTTATTTCTTTATTTGAGAGAGAGAGAGAGCACGAGCAGGCGCAGGGGGAGAGGGAGAAGCAGACTCCCCACTGAGAGGGGAGCCCAACGTGAGGCTCGATTCCAGGACCCTGGGATCATGACCTGAGCCAAAGGCAGACACTTAACCGACTGAGCCACCCAGGCACCCCCAGAGGTCATGCTTCTTGAGAAAACCATGCCTCTGATCAGAGAGTCCCAGGACACTCGTGAAGGTAGAACCTCACATCTGCTAATCCCCATTCAGTATCCGGGACAGCCCAGCCAAGGCTTCTAAAACAATCCTGAGGTTCCTCATTCATTTATACCCGCAACAGACTTTTCCTTAGCACCCACTTTGTCTCATTCAGTGTTGGGCATTGAAGTCACAGTGGTAAAGAAGTCTCAGTCTCATGAGAATAAAAGGTGGTGTGGGATGAGGCCCGAGGACACAGCTAGAGGCGTGGCTATGAGACAACAGTGAAGAGAGAATACTTGGTGCGGGCACCCAGGAAGGCTTCTCGGAGACAGTGGCCATGGAGTACAGACAGCCTGGGGTATCATGGGGTGTGGGTACAAGGGCTGGGGTAAGCCCTTCCAGGAGTCCTTGAATGAAAGAAACCAGATTGCATGACAGCTGACCAAGGGGTGTGGCATAAAACTGGGACCAGGCAGAAGTGACCAGTTCTCAGAATCCGAGGACCTGAGAGAGGGAGGCAGGCTGGGGAAGAACACCGGGGTGCCACCAGGGCCAAAGCTCCACTTGGTCAGAGATGGGTCCTATGAAGACACCACTGTATGGGCCACGATAATCTCAGAGTCCTCAGGGGCCTGGGGGCGTCGGGGGAGCTCTACCTGTTGCCCCCACTAAAGCCAACTCCCAAGGAGCACTCCAACCCCCTTAGGGCCTTTAAGACCCATTATGAACACTAAACCCTTTTAAAGGTCTCTTTTTAAAGTAGCTCAGCTGGGTTGTTAACAGAGAAACCATCACAGGAAGTACTGATGACTTCCAAATAGTCAATTTTTTGAGCAACTGGCCACAGGCTGGCCTCCTCAGCCCACTCCCAGAAACCTCTGTACGTGTATACACACACACACACACACACACACACACGATTCTTCCCGGCCCACATAAGAGCTTGCTGCCATACGAGGTCTCAGAGTCGGGGCCCTGCAGACCAGAAAGGCCACACTGAGGTGAAAGAAGTGTTGTGCGTGGAAACCTTCCTCCTTTCCGTTCTCCCTCTGACCCACACACCCAGTCCCATAACTCACACACCCCCACGGGCCAGGCCAATGACGGGGCCACCTCAGAGACACGGAACATCCAGGGGCAGACGTCCAGGACTCCACAGGCTACCAAGGCTCCAGCTCTGAAGGAAGAGCTGCCTGGGAGTGAGCCCCACTTGGGGGAGGTTAAGCTCTCCCAGTGACAGGGTCACAACGGAAGAGAAGTGGGCCCAGTCCAAAGCTCTGGAGACTTTTAAAAGGTAGGATGAGAAATGCACAAGGGAAGCTGGGAAGGCTGGCCCAAAGCTGTAAGAAGAAACCAGGGGCCTTTGCTGCCAGGCCTGTGATGCCCTGTGTCCAGGGCTGAGAGAGAGTGCAGATGAGGACCCGGCTGTGGCCGCTGCTGGGTTTAGCAGCTTCAACTGGGGAGCAGGCCGACCCGGGCTCCAGCCCAGCGCCAACCACCTCAATTTCCTCACTTGTAAAGCCCTCCCCGACAACTGAAAGCCCCCGCCCAGGGCTGAGCTGCCGGTCTAGGCCCCACCGGCCGGCTCTCCACTGCATGGGAAGAGGGCCCAGGGAGGAAGGTGAGGGTTAAGGCCTCGGGGCCAGGGCTGGGGCCCGAAAAGGCAGGAAATGAACTGGACTCTGGCCCTTCTCAGAAGCGGACTTCATTCCCGGCCTGGTCTTCCCAGAGGCAGCCAATTCCCGCCCACCCCCCCCCCCCCACCCCAGCACCTGGCACCTCCATCTGTCCTCCCTCCCGCCGCTGCACCGCGCACCGCGAATCCAGAGAAGGGACCCCGCTGCCCGCCACTCTGCGGGCACCAACACCGTGCACCCCCGAAGGGTCTGGGGTGCCCGCTGAGGAGGCCAGGAGGGATGGGGAGGGTTAGGGGGCGCTCTGCAAGGGGAGGCTCCCGTTCCAGCCCAGGGCCAAACCCAGGTTGGCCTGCATCGGAGCCCGGATCTGAGACTTGGGTCCAGAGAGGCCCAGACTCAGACCAAGGGCCCGAGAACCTGTCTGGAACATTCCAGCCAGGGATCCCACCTCACCCTGGGGTGGGAAATCCAAGAGCCCCGGCCCCAGGCAGCAGCCGACCGCATGTCCCCTGCAGCCAGGCCTCGGGGCCCTGGGAGGGGGGGAGCTGCTGGGGGTGGGAGAAGGAAACCTGGGGCGCGTGGGCAAGGACCCCGCCTTGGGGGGGTGCCACCTCAAGGCCGGTCTTGGAGGCCCTCTAGGAGCTGGGCAGAGGCCTCACTGGAGCCCCTAGTGGCTGATCCGGGGACAGGCTGAGATTTTACTCCAGCCACGAAGTGATAAAGACCTGCCAGCTTTAACACCTGCTGGCTGCCTGCGAAGAGGAGGCACCTTACCCCACGGTGGGGGACGAGGACACAGTGCGTGTGGATCCACAGGAGGCGACAGGGGCCTGGTGGTACTGGGGCAGTACTATTAGTAGTCTTTGTCCCGGCCAGGACGGGTCATCTAGAGAAAAGGGAAGGAGAATGGACCCCGAGTGACCCAGTTCTCAGAAACCTGGAAATCTTCAGGGTTTTGTTCTGTTTTGGGGTTTAGTTTTGTTTTTGTTTTTGTTTTTTTGCACCAATTTCCAACCCTCCACTTCCAATCCAACACTAAGACATGTCCACTCTACCTGCTAAGTAAATAGGGAATGTGCCCTCTTTCTCTATGGCCATCCCCTTTATACCTCGTAATTATCACGATTTGTAATTCTGTATGTGAATTACATCATGACACTCAGGGCACGAGAAATGTGCATTTCTTTATTCTGATAAATGAAATGAAATCTAGTTGGAGTCCCCTGCTCTTGCTGCCAGGGTTGGCAGGAACTCTACTCTTAGTCATTTACCAGGAGCCTGCCCCTGTCCCTGGGGCCAGTCACAGACCCAGGAGGCTCAGGCCATCCTGAGAGGAAGACACACAGGCTACCACGGCAGCTGCCTCCAGCCTCAGCCAGGCAGGCACTGGTGGCCCAGGCCCCTAGACCATGCTTGGCTGGGAGCTCCCAAAGCCTGCCCAGATTGAGTGATGTTTATGCCATTTCTCTGGGCACCCCTGTAGCCCATCCCTCAGCTCCCCAGCTCCCTGCCCTTTCTACACACACCCACCCCCTTCTGAAGTCAGGCCACTCTACCTCCTCATCCATCAAAGCACCTACAGTTTTTTTTTCAGATTTTATTTATTTATTTGAGAGAGAGTGTGTGTGAGCTTATACACACACAAAAGGGGGGGAGGGGCAGAGGGAGAGGGAGAAGCAGGCTCCGCCCTGAGCAGGGAGCCCGATGCAGGGCTCGATCCCAGGACCCTGAGACCATGACCCGAGCTGAAGGCAGACGCTTCACCGACTGAGCCTCCCAGATGCCCCCAAAGCACCTACACTTTAATCCATTTTCCTCAAGCAGACCACTATAACATCCTCAATGGGCTAACATCCTCAAGACCTGATTCTTGGGGGGCATCTCACACTCCCACCAGCAATGTATGAGGGTTCCAATTTCTCCATTCTTGTCAACACTTGTTACTGTCCATTATTTTATTATAGCAGTGATTTCTTTGCTTATTCCAAACCTTCCATTTTTTCTTACACACCCAATGTGTT